AAAGTTGAATTCTATGAATGAATATGTATCAATAAATTATACAAATGAGTATGTCACTTATTTTGCCCGTTCTTTCTGTTTATGCTGGTTAGTCCCATTTTCCATGTCGGCAATCAGGAATTTTAACAAATGATGTGCCTAGAGACCTCTGAAGAGGCAATGATTCCTGCCTCCTGGTATCACACTAACTTTAGAAACATAGAGCGAGCCAGAAGGGGTCTCCCGGGCCATCTAGTCTGACCTCCGGCACCAGCCGGCTCCACTCCCGACATGCCCACCATGTGCATGTCCAGCCTATCTTAGAACACCCTCGCCGATGGGGCCTCAACCACCACTCGTGGAAGCCCATTCCACACCCTCGGGGTCCTAACAGTCAGGAAGTGCTTTCCGGCATCTAAATGGAACCTTGGTTCCCTGAGCTTTGCTCCGTTGCAGCGCGTCCTGCCTTCCTCTGCAGGGGAGAACAGGTCTCTACTCATCTCCGTGTGACATCCCCTCACATACCTGTATGCCGCCAACAGATTCCCTCTGAGTCTCCTCTTCTCCAGGCTGAAGAGACCCAGTTCCCTCAGTCTCACCTCATACCCCATCCCCTGCAAACTTACCACCAACCTTGTGGCCCTACGCTGCACTGACTCTAACCTGGCTATATCCTTTCTGTAATGAGGGGCCCAAAACTGAGCACAATACTCCAGTTGCAGTCACATCAGAGTCGTATAGAGTGGTAGTAATACCTCTCTTGATCTAGAAGCCACACTTCTGGCTATGCAACCAAGGGTGGTGTTCACCCTCTGAACCACTGCATCACACTGCTGACTCATGTTTAGCCTGCAGTCAACCAGTACCCCGAGGTCCTTTTCACAAGTGCTGCTCTCCAGCCTCTTGTCACCTAACATGTACTTATGACAGCTATTCCTATGCCCCAAGTGAAAGACCTTGCACTTATCCACATTGAACACCACCCCGTTATCTCCCGCCCACTTCCATAGTCTGTCCAGATCCTTTTGCATCTAGAGTACCTGCTCCTCAGTTGTGGTCAGAGGACAGAGCCCTGGGGGACCCTGCTTGTCACTGGCCGCCATCCCCATGATTCCCCGCTAATGGTTACCCTCTGCTTTCGGGCAGTCAACCATGCCCTAATCCACCGGACAGTGCTTTGGTGTATCCCAAAACTCCTCAGTTTCTCCACCAGGATATCATGGGGCACTTTGTCAAAGGCCTTGCTGAAATCTAGGTATACCACATCCACTGCATCCCCTCCATCTAACCATCTCAAAACCTTGTCATAGAATTCCACAAGGTTTGTCTGGCAGGACCTGTTTTTGCGGAAGCCGTGTTGTGTGGCTGTCAGCCTCCCTTCCCTATCTAGCATCACTAGATCTCTCTCTATTATGAGCCTTTCCATTGTTTTTCCTACAATGGATGTAAGGCTACGAGGTCTGTAATTCCCCATGTCCCTTCTACTACCCTTTTTGAAAATTGGGACTACTGATGCCACCCTCCAATCCTCTGAAGCTTCTCCAGTTCTCTTTCGTCTGGCGGTTCCTCTTTCATCTCCTCTTTTGTCTAATCCCTCTAACTACCTCTTTTCGCATCCATGGCGATGCTCTCCTCCACCTCCCCACCTTACTAACTAGAGCCATCGCCGGCTTGCACCTCCAAAACCTCCCTTTTGAGTTCCATCCACCCCTCTTCAACTCACTTACCTTCCAGTAACCTATCCCAGGGGAGATAGACTTTGATACAGTAGATGACAGAATCACCCATCATGTGCGAAGCTGAAAGGTGCCAGGCCTACATATATTCTAAGTCACTGTAGCTATGCTTTCCTGGGAAAACATGGTGTACTTTACTCATTCCTGAACCCAGCTATCCCTACTGTCTCCTGATTCTGGATTTGATGTGCAGGCTTAAATAATCATTGTCATTATTTAACACTGATGTGTGGGGTTGAAGTTTTACAGAGCAAGGGAACATCAAATGTCACCAATGGAACCAGCTGCCTTGTTGCGCCTGATCCTTGCTTGCGGCTGAAGCATTTTCTGTGCAGCTCTGCAGACAACACAGCAGGTAACTCATGCCTGGCTCAGGTGGTGCTCTTACCTCCATGCCTGTTTGCTAGGACAACCTGCCTGTCAGCCACTTAGCTCAGCATGGGCTGCTTTCCAGATTTTGCTTTTACAGACCTTCAAGACACCATTTTAAGAACGCAACTTGAGGTGTGTGGCTTCTTCCCCGCAGCAGGTCAGTGCAGCTCTTTTGCAGCAAACAGAACATGATGTGGCTGCCACCACTTCTTGCATACTGGGATGGAGAGAGCAATTCGGTTTCTTCTTCAAAGGTTCTCCCAATTTCTCTTTGGATCACACTGCAGAATAGGGTGAAGAAAACCTACAAAATTTGCAGGCTCAAACAGGAGCAACCTGTGGGACCCTGGGAGGGCAGGACAGCTGGGTGCCACTGGGAGGTCTGACAAGTTCATCAACTACATATGCCCCATATTGTGGTGTTTATGCCTTAAATTGCACACCACCCTGGGAGCCTGCAGGGCTATAGTATAATAATACTAAATAAATGTAATAATAAATAAATTTGAGAATGAGGGGGAGAGATGAAAACCTATCTTCATCTATACGGTGACTGCTTTCTTCTCTTCCTGTTTCTTTTTCCAGAGTTCACTAACGGCTGTAAATTGTGTCCTGTGGGGTGGACATTGCACAAAGACAACTGTTACTGGTTCTCTAAGGGGAAGAAAAACTGGACCCAGAGCCACAATGACTGCAGAGCAAAGAACTCTTCACTCCCTGTGCTTCAGACCCAGGAGGAAATGGTAAAGAGACCATTTCTCGGGAAGGTCTAGTGAACCTGGAATCTGCCTCTGCCAGGCTGGCTGACGCGGCTGGAGAAAGCTCAAGCAGCTTGTGGGGTGCAGCTGCGGTGTACTGACCTTGGACGAAGATCCCCCTTCCCATCCCTCTGCATGCATCTCAGTCCACATGTGATTGCTCCTTAACAGCACATCAATCTTGGGTTCACAACAAACACTTTAAGGCTCTTAGGCTGGCATCATTACAATAACTCTGCGAGGATGGTCAGTTGTATCATCTCCCAAGTGGGAGGACTGGCCCTGGGAGGGTACCTACCTCCCACCCACCCCCTGTGCATTGTTCAGGGCAGGGTGCAGCTGCAATTTAGTCTTCAATTAATCCAAGACAGGCCCACTGAACCTTACCATCAGTTCTGCCTTTGTCCCAAAGCTTCTTGGCCCACATCCAATAGACCCTGGAAAGGTCCTTCCTGTTCATCCATGTCATTAATACTATAGCTTCTGTATATCCTGAAGTGCTGGATCCTGCCTAATCATGGAACCTAAGCAAGGCCAGGCCTGGTAGAAATCTGGATGGGTGACCTCAATCTGGTGCACTGTCCAGAGAGCCCCAGCTATGGGTGGTATAGAAATGTACTATCATAATGCGTTTATTTTCCATCAGCCAGGAGCACAGAGGTTTGTGACATGGTCCACTTCTCTATTTTACCCTCGCAGCATGGCTGGCCCAAAGCCACCCAGTGACCTTCACAGACCAGTGAGGTCCAGAAGGCAAATCTGCCCCGTCCCTGCCCATCACTCTAACCACCCTGCCACGGATGGGGGCTGTGGGGACCACTGCCTTACCTGCTACCCCCAAAGGAAGCAGGTGCCTGTGCCAGAGAGTCATTACTGGTGCAGCAGATAAACCAGAGGAGAGCCTCCAGGGCTCGCTGCCTGCGGAGGCTACAGCACCAGAGCAAGCAAGGGCTGATCAACTGCCTATGCTGGATGGGTGGATGGCAGGAAACATGAAGGGAATGTAAGCAGAAGGTACACTGCCTCCATAGGATGGGACCTTGTAAGCCTAAGAAGATCACATTGCTGGGGATACCATAACCTACTTATTTGATCCATTCCAGGACTTCATAACAAAGAAGGCAGACACCGTGATTTGGTTGGGGCTCAGAACCAGCCACTCTGGAAGGTGTATCTGGGAGTGGGTGGATGGATCCCCCTTCAGGAAAGAACTGTGAGTACTTCTAAACATGAGCATGGTTAATAACTCTGATGGGATTACTTTTGGCTCAGGAATGCCCACAGCTAATGCCAGTGCTCAGATCTGCTCGCAGGCGTTTCTCTTTGACATGTGATATCCACGGATGCTGGTTCGGCTTCTGTGCTAACTTCAAGGCATTCTCTCTGGCTGCTTCAGAAGTTCTAGGGAGGAGCCCTGGAGCTGCAAACAGAATTTGGAACTGAACGCAAGGCCAAATTAAACACCGGTCCTTATCCTGAATTATCTGAAAATTACCACTGAGGTGCGATCAAGTAGCCCCACATTATCTGCACCCCGCACAGCATCCAGATGACTCCAGGCGGGCTTTCATGAGTGGTTGCCACAGGAGACAGAGGATACCATTGAAAGCAGAATGTCAGCTGTTTATGAGAGCCAGAAGTGGAAACTCTCAGTCATCTGTATCATGTTTTTTCCAAGCAGGCATTCATTGAAATAGGTTTCCCCTTTAGCTTTCCAAACCAGGTAAGGAACAGGGCACAAGCAAAGATCCTCCCCCAGCTGCAAGGTGATACAAACTTTTGTGCTGGCTGCAAGGGCTGGTGGGTGGAGCGTCCACACTCTTCCCCAAAGATGGAGCATTGTCTCTGATCTCAGTTGGGGTATCTGAAACAACCTATGGGCCCTCAGATATACGTGGTTGTTATGTACTGTTGTTCACTTGTGTGCTGGTGTGCCCAGGGAGCTGTGGCTATTGGGTGGTATAGAATTAGTACTGACACTAATGTCTAGGGGCCATTGCATGGCTTCGTGTTACTAAAGCTTATTTTTAATCCACTTAGTAACATTGTCTGGGTGCAGAAAAAGCTGCAAGAGTAAAATACAACTTGAACAACAAAAATTGCCCAGGTAAAACTAACAAAGATTGAAGCAGGGCCTCATTTGTTCTAAATGCACACTTTCCTTTATTCTGTAGGTTTTCTGTGTCAGGCCCTGCTGAAGAGCACAGCTGTGCAATGAAAAGAAAGAATGTGGTTGCCTCAGAGACCTGTAATGCTCTCTCTTCTTGGGCATGCAAGAAGAATGCTTTCCCGATACAAGCTCAGCCACTGAATCCACTGGCAGGAGTCAGCGGCCCCCTGCCTGGATAAGGGATTGGCTCCTTTCTGGGCCTGCAAGATCCCCCACAGTCCACGGCCGCCTCCCACCTCTGGAATGCTCTTCAACCCTCTTGCCATGAGCTCTTGCCACAGGCTGACCTTCCAGGATCCAGGATACGTTCACACTGAGAACAGGCGACTGTCACAAATCTCGGCCCTTTGGGGCACTCACAGAAAGGAAGCCACCATGGCAATGGGAACCGGGCGACTCCACTTGCCTGAACCCGGGGTGGGCACGCGGGGCCCTCTTGGCGTTTCAGCCCGCAGCACCCAGGGCCCCGGCCTCCCTCTCCATGGGCCATGCTGTTTAAGGCTGACAGGAGCTCGAGGCCAAATGCTCTGGAGGGCCACATAGCGCCTTCCCTGTGCTGCATTTCCATTCACAGAAATGAAAGGGTTAAAAGGAGTGCCGTGTGGATGAGTTGGGCTCTCAGATTCATATTATGTGTAGCAAGGGGGAACTGGACTGCCAATAAGTCTGACTTTCTTCATCCAAACACTGCCAAGTTTTCTCTCACACACAGAACTCATCGTTCCAAGGAAAACTCTTGCAAATACAGTTGCTCAGCTTGGATCATAAACAGCAATTGCTTTTTCCAGCTGAAGAAGAAGTGGCTTACCGGGCCTTGAGCTTCCATTCTGCAGGTTTTCAACAGACCAGGGAAGCCTGCATTTCCTCTTCCCTTTTGCTCTTGACCACAAATGAGACGAGCTTCTGCTTCCCTGACTGAGAATATCACTCACAGAAATGCAGGCCTTACAGAGGACTCTCTGAGGCACCATATCCATTATTTCAGAGCATGGCTCTACAGTTAGACAGGAGCTACAATTCCCCGTAGGGCTAGCCAGGAATATAGGGAGTTGTGGGAACTTTCCTTTTCTGGTATGCAGATATTGCAGCGGTAAAAGATAGAACAGACAAAAAAATAATGCAATAACTTTAAAGCAAAATCAGTAAGAATGGCTGGTTAGGTCAGGAAGTGTCTGGGAAGAAAAGAGTCAACAGGGGGCACCGAAAACAATTCAGTGCTGGTGCCTGCCTGACCTATGGACACACGGGATTCCTGGGAAATGAAGTGGCCACACTCAAGATGCTGCTCCGGGTTAACCCTAGTGGGGCCAGAGGTAGGAGGCCCAGGGATACACCATCAGAGGATCTCAGGACTGGCCAGGCTGGTAAGGAGAAGGCACACCCTGCAGGAAACCGGGAAGGGGCAGAGCCCGGTGATTTTTGCTAAGTTCAGGCAGTGCTGCAACAAGGTAATTTCAGACTCTGGATTTCAGGATCTTCTCTTTTTTGCACTCTTCCGTGTATTATTCTGTGTATTATTCCAGTGGAGAAGTCATAACACAACTCCTACTTCCTTTTCCTGCCCGCTCCCCAGTCATGCACACACGCAGAGAGTCACACTGTGATTTACAATGGCTTCTAAATTCTTGGTAGGAAAGAGCAAACAAATAACTCTGCCAACCATGATTTTTGAAAAAGCTGAGCACGTGGAATTTTGCATTTTAAACCCATTAACTACAGGTACTGTCATGACTGCAGGAATACAGTGATGTCTGCCTTTACTATCCTGATGCTAAACACATTTACTCCAAGAATAATCACTTTTTGTTAGAGATGTCAGGGAATCCTGGAATAAGCAGCTGCGAGAATGTACATTCGGATACACAGGAAGATACTGTCACCTCAAACTTCAGTAGTTTTATTGATGAGAACAACTCAAGGAAACCCCTTTGCAAAGTACAAACCTACAACAGGACAGCAAATTTACACGGTTATACAAGCTGTATACTCACTACTTTACATTGTAGCAAAGTGTCATTTCTTCAGAGTTTTCACATGAAAAGATATAAAGAAATATTTGCAAAATGTGAGGGGTATACTCACTTCTGTGATATACTGTAAAAAAGGGCCAACTGAGAACTGCTCAGGTATGCAATCTGGAACAATTTGTTGGTAACAGGCTATTCTCGAGAATAAATCCTTTAAAAGAAAAGCTTCCTCTATTGTGTATTCTGGACCTAGGCACATGGAATACTTGCTCAACAGTATGATTGAGACATTCCCCACCAAATCACTTTTAAGTAAGAACAGGATTCTTTGCAAATCATGTCCACTCCATTCCGTAATTTTGATTTTTCCATCCCTGCTACCCAACCGTTAAAAAATGATGTGGATTATTTCTATAGCATGTACATGCTGCAGCATAATATAATCATAGAAAGAAATTCCTGACCCAGACAGCTTCTAATGTACAATTCAGCAACAGATGAACCAGTGGAGGGAAGAGAGGAAGAGAAAGGAAATAAAAGCAGGAAAGCATCTACACAAGCCCGTCACGATTCTCACTTTCTAGAAGCAGCTACTGCAGGGTAAAGGCAAAGGCTTCATCCAATAATTGTAGCTTGAAGAGGGATTTCAAGCAGGGAGTGTCATCCAATTTCTCTTTTCATGGTTTGTCTTTTCAATGAGCTCCTTGTGTCCTGCTGCTAAGGCAAGATCCAGATCTGATTCTGGGAGTCACTTGGTGATGATGGCATCTGGAGTTAGCTCGCAGTGGAAAGTGTGGCTCCTGACCTTCAGGGCCTTGCTGTTTTGTGTGTTTTTCTCTGTGGCTCCTGAGCAAGAGTGAGTCACCAAATCACCAGCCACACACTGGTAATTCATCTGCTGCAGACTCGGCTTCTCTGACCTGCAGATATGTAGAACAAGGAGCAGTCAGTCCCTTCAGTCGTCCCCACATTCTGGGGATGACATGAGTGGAGCCAACTAGAGCCAGGGGTCAGACTAGATGGCGCAGGAGGCCCCATCTGACTCGCTCTGTTTCTATGCTTCAGGTACCGCACTGGTGGGTGCTGCGGCTATGTGAAGGGCACAAGGCCAGGTGGCAAGGCATTCTCCTCAGTCTCAAAGAGGGTCCATTTGCCTTTGGTCTAGGGCAGGGGTCCTCAAACTTTTTCACCAGGGGGCCAGTTAAAAGGTGCCGGTGCCGGGCGAGGGCCGGAAAGGTGGTGCCGGCGAGGCGAGGCGGGGGCGGGCATGTGCCGTGAGGTGGGCACACAAGGCAGCGGCTTGCGCGCTTGGAGACTGTTTTCTCTGAGTGATCAAACCGCTGCCTTCCCGCACGCGGGGCAAGGTGAGTGGTGGCAAGTGTGCATGTGGGTGCAGACGCACACGTGGCAGGTCCAAATGGGCATGACAGGCCAGATAAATGGGCATGATGAGCCGGATCTAGCCCCCGGGCTGTAGTTTGAGGACCCATGGTCTAGGGCTTAGAAGGAATGGAGTGGGCTAAGGTTTGGAAGGGATGCCCCATGAACACAAAAGAACAGAGCCTGGGATGCACAAAGGGTGGGGTGGGGTGCATCGCCCTCATCTTCACCTGAAGCCCTGAGGACACTTTGGTGCTTTAAAATTTATTTTTAAAGGAGTGATAGAATCCAAAGGTATATTTAGATTCAGTATAACAGCAGAAAGGTCAGTGGCTAGAGTCTGGATCTGAACCTTAGCAATGCCTTTTTGCATTCAAACTTCCAGAGTTGTTTTTGATTGCCAAAATTGCAAATATTGTTGGCCTGGCCATGGGCTTTCTTTGCACATTCTAACATGTTGGCTGCTTTGTTACCTATTTCTCCTGTCTTTGGGACTGAACAGCTCAAGAATCGGTGCCTTTCATTGGTGAGGCTGGGGGTCCAGCTGCGGCCACATTCTGGGTGTTCTGCCATCTGCTGTGAAAAGGATTATCTGCCAATAGCATTTGAGCCAAAGTGGGTATTGGTAGGGGAAGCCAGTTGGGGTCTGGAATGATGAATTTCTATTCATGCTCACTGCAGTATTTCCTTAAGGAAGGTCCCCGTTAAGCCCTCTGATTGTTCAGGTATGCCCTGCAGAAGCTGCATATGGTTCTTAGTGTTTCCTACAGAAGGCTTTCTGAACCTCTCAGATTCCATGGGGCTCTTGGGGGATGGCAGCTCTTGGTGACTTGGTGACATCCACAAAGACACACACACACACACACACACACACACACACACACACACACTGCATGCATGGGGAGGAGGAGCATGATACAACTGGAGTGGGATCTCTGGCAGATGCCTTTAATGCTTCCCTCCCTCCAATAGCAGTCCTGATCAACATTGCTCTTTCCTCAGCACTATTCACATGATCTCAGTGGCTACGGATGCAGTTTTAGAAAATTAACAAATAAAGAAACTAGCCCTGTAATGTCTCTGGGCTTCTCATGGTCCCTCTGCAGAGCTTCTATTCTTTCTGTAAGCATCCAGGTGGCTGCAAATCCAGTTTCTTGGTATGTAGCAACGAGAGGTGATGGCAATGTCCATGCTTAGAAAGGCACAGTTTCCTCCTTCCCCTCCGATGTGCACCCTGCAACTCAAGAAGCAAATGACAAGCTAAGTTCCTTGCACTTTCTTGGGCAGGGACACCCACTTTGTGAAAGTCTTATGTTCATTGTTGCTGTCTGTGTTTTCTGTCTTGTCTGTCTGTATTGTAAAGTGTTCCCCTTTCTGGGAGGTAAGCATAGTCCCGAGTGGGTTTTGGGGGTTCCTCAGGAAATAGAAGCTCCCCACGCAGCTGCACCAATCTGTCCTCTTCAGGGCATGGTTGAAAGCAAGGGCATGGATGGGTGTTCTTGCCCCTGAGATGAGAATGTGTGAACCTGGCTTTGATTGAGAGATAGATTCATGAAGTCATTTGCCTGAGCCCAAGCATGGCTGAGTCCGGCTGGGAAAAAGGTGATGATCAGGGCAAAATGTGCGAGTGAGATTTTTCCTTCCCCCATTCCTTCTATATGAGCTAGAAGTGGGAAGTAAGGAAATGTGTGGCCCTTGAATTGGGCTTACAAACACAGGTCCTACCCAGTTTTCTGGACATCCTCAATAAGCTTATCCTGTGTGAAAGCCCTGTATGAAAGAGCGGTTGTATAGAAACATTTTATGCAGGTCCTTTCCTTGTCAGAAACCAGGAACACTGTTTCAATGTCTTGCAAGATTTTCTGCCTCTTCCATCTGCCTTACAGCCCTCCTAGGTAGGAAGATTTTTTTGTTAGATTAAATAATTGCATTTGAAATCCCGGGAGAGGATGCTAATGGGCAGATGAAAGATGAAAAAAAACAAATCTTTGCAAGTTCCTGGGGAGGATTTTACGGTTCTGGGATAGCTTTTGGGTTATACTTTGGACCAAGAAAGGTGAAAACTGCATCTGAGGGGCTGCAGAAGCTAAATGGATTCAGGAAATCCAGTCCATCAGATATTGCTGGAGTATGTTTGTGAAGGAAGGCATTGTAGGAAAGAAGGAAGAGGATTTGTTCAGAAGGAAACACGTGCAAAGGGAAAGCACTGTGGTGTGGTTGTAATTTCATGGTTGGATTGGAATTTGGTAGATGTTGTAAGTAGAAAGTAAAGGCAAGTGAGCAGATGGATTATGGAAATGAAAGAAAAGGAAGGAAAAGTGAAGCAAAGATGCAGAAAGGAAGGGTTTTCTTTGATGTGTTGCGGAGGTTTTTGGAAGAATAGTGGAAATTGGCTGGTTTTTCTCCCCATGTTGAACTTGCAACTGTTTGGAATGTGGGGTTTGAGTGAAAGGCAAAAAGATTTTTATTTTTCTGAATGTTGTGTGCATGCCATGTGAAAATGAGAGTGTATTTGACAGGAATTCCTTGATTCAAGGGGTGCATGGTGCTTGGTGTGAGAAAGAATTTTAAGAGGTTTTGGTAAATGGTGATTTGGTACTTTTTCTACTGGAAAAATAATGAAAGAAATGTGTAACTTTTGGAGTAAAGACAAGAAAAACAAATGAAAAAAAGAGGAATAGTCTACCTTGCTAAGAGCACTCCCATTATTTAAAGAGACAGTAACTGCAGCTTCTTCTCTGGGTTCAGTCTGGCCAACTGAATTCAAGGGGAATTTGTGCTGAAAAATTTGGATATCTTGACTCTGTGGGCTTGGCTATTCCACAGAGCCAAGAAAAGGGGGGATGCTCTGGCAGGAAGGTACCACCACTTTGTGAGTACTGCAGAAGCAGAACATACAATGCCTCTGAGCATGTGCAGAGTTTAAAGTACTTTGGGAAGTTTGAACGGCTCTGCTTCCAGCCACAGATTGGAGGTGGGCTTGCACTAGTTCTCAAAAGAAAGTCTTGGGAGTATCTAGAAAACTCTCAAAAGAAATCTTGGTGTCTTCAAAAATATATAAATGAATAAAATAAAATAAGTTGTTTAACTGAGGCAAGGCATTTGAGGTTCTTTGAGTGTTCAAAGCTTGTATTGCCTCAGGAAAAATTCTGCCTGGAAAGGTTTGGGTTAAAACAAAGACCCTTAAGCACTCTCTCTGAGGAACTAGGGGATTTTTTTTAAGGAAGGGAATCCTTCCAAAAAGCAATGTTGTGAGCAATGATTTGTGTCAGCCATCAAGAGTTTTTCCTCTCCAATAAATTCCATTTTCCTATGCAACATGGATCTGGGTCTTAAAAAGTTCTGAATTCGGAATATACCATCTTGTTATTGCTATGCTACAACTGAATGATTGGGAGGGAATGGATGAAACTCTGGGGGGGGGGGTGTATGTGTGTGCGTGCACGCGCATGCATTGGGAAGGATTTCTTTTCAAATCTGTGAGGCTACTTTTCCCTTTTGAGTTCAAGAAAAAGTTTGTTTCCTTTTTCCCTTTTGCAATGTTGCCAAATATTAATGATAATGATAGTGATATTGTTGTTACTGTTGTTACTGTTGTTATTGATGGTGCTAAAAGAAAATTTCCCTTACAGTAGCCTAATGGTTGTTGGGGACTGAGCCCATTTGCCTGCCCAAGGATGTGGGCAGCTAAAATGGCAAGTTCTCAAAACTTTCCATGAACATAAGCACTCATATGTTCATCTAAATGCGCAAGCATTGATTGTTACATGAAATGTGTGTTATTAAAGGTTTGTTTGTGTTAACAATGGGTTGGTGCATTTTGTATCTATGTGGGAGAGTACCATCTCTGTAGTAAGAAATTGTGTAAAACTGTTCTCATTGTCCAAAGTCCAGAAGGAAGCACATTTCTCTTTAGCCTAGGCAAGCAACAGGTTTGTGCAATACAAGTTCAAAAGAGGATTTCTTTTGTGTGCATTTTTGGCATTGGCTGGATTGATTTCAGCAACCCAAACATTTTCCTCTTGAGACTGTGCTAAAGACACTCAAAAAGGACACAGACTTTATATCTTGAGGTTTCTCTCCAAACTCATGTGGATCTCTCTGCCACTGCCTACAACCAGCTTCGGTGAAGAAATGTAAAAGTCATTTCCCCCCCCCTTAATTAACTTTTATTATTTTTTATTTTTTTGAGCTGCAGGTTGCCAGGAACCAAACAGCTACGCTGGCACAGCAGAAAAGAAAAGAAAGACTCCTTTTCTCTACAGCCCTGGAAGGAAAAGCCCTCCATGTCCCATGCTACACCCTGGCTCCAGGAACTGCAGTGACTGTGATGGGAATCCATTCCTGTGTTCTGCCTTACTCGACTGCATCATCCACAAGGAAAGAACTAACCAAGCAAACTGTGAGAGGCAAGGTCTACAGCTAAGAAGCTTGAGTGAAGCCTAGACAACAAAATCTCAAAGACTTGCCTAAAAGGGCAAGACAAATGACTGAACTGGACATCAGGCCATTTCCTCAACTCACACTGCTCCCACCTTGCAAAGCAGGCTAAGCCACCCCGAGGCCCTTTTGCGAATGGGGTGGCATAGAAATGTTTTAAATAAATAAGGAAGGAAGGAAGGAAGGAAGGAAGGAAGGAAGGAAGGAAGGAAGGAGGCCTAGGGAGCAAAGGAACCAGGCCTCAAAATTGAGTGGCAAAACTGGAAAGAGGCGAGGGAGCAGGTGAGGATGAGAGCTGGCTGGCACTGAGTTCTTTGCTGCCAAAGGGGGGCCAAAATCAGCACGGAGTTTCCCAGGAGGACTACTAGCACTGGGGTTGCATATCATGTGTTTTGGACTTTCTTTTTTCCTTTCACTTTCTTTGCTGCTTTTCCAATGGTTTCCCATTTTTCCTACCCTTTGAATTGAACTCTCAGCAAATACACAAGTCTCCATTGTATGCAATAACTTTCTCCTCACATTAGTTTAGTTTTGAGATGGAAGCTGTTTTCTGGGGAAAAGCTTGGAACAGGATTTGTCCAAACTGACTTGTTTGTGTCCCATAGCAAAGCTAGTGACAAAGGGGGGATTGCTGGGAAAATTTGGATAAATCCTGTCTGAAAAGCATTGCTTCTGTGTGCTTTTGCATTGTGGGATCAAATCCTGTACTCCTTCTCAAAACCAAGCTAAGTCACTGTTTCAAATGGCATCCCTCCTCCGCTCCTTTCTCTCACCTTTAGCTGTGGGCTACAGTAGACAGGTCATTCAGTCCAAATATGCATTATATACCTTCACAATTGTTAAATAATCATTGTTGGAATTCAGTTTACCAGGAAATATCTTCCTAGCCCACAGGGCTTCATGTGCCCTGGTCATTCAGAATGTCTAGAGTCTAGATAAACTTATGAGATCATGCATAGTTTCTCAGTAGCTTGAATTTACATGACTAAGCAGACCTGCAGATGGGTTCAAGTTACTGAACTAAAGTGTCAATACACGGCAATTAGAAATATTGTAATCTTATTGTCACTGTAGGATTGACTGACTTTCCTTCATCTGTTCTGTATGTGATGACCTCAGAATCTAATTCTAATCTCTGCATTCTGTCATCAATTGCCCTGTACCTGTGACGTGACTGGGAGTGTATAAAAACTCTGTAGTTGTGCTGAAGCTTGGCAGCAGAGTTCACCTCTGCCTGCCCAGTAATGCATTATCGTGAGTACCACCCGCGGGGAACCTGGGTCAATGCAATAAAGCCAAGATGGTCTGGATGCTTGATCTTTCCCATGAACCCGAGTTTTATTTCCTCTTCTCAACTTGAGGTTCCGGGATTCTGACACCTGCCAGACCAACATCCTGAAGGAGGCCAGATTCAAAGGTGCACCATGGTAGCTTCCTTCCCTCAAAGAGAAAAGAAATTCACCGTTGAGTAAAGACTGTCCATTTCCCCCATGAGTGCAGGAACCCCACCGGTGTTGGGGATGTAACCAAGCAGTGTCCCGCAGGATGGACTTGGGTTTGGCATCTCTGACCCTCTTCTGATCCCATTGCTCCTCCCTGCAGAGCTGGATGCTGCAGATCAAGGCCATCACCCAGCTGGCAGTCTTCTTGGCGGTCCACTGGAGAGTATACTAAAGCAGAAGCTGCTTCCTGACTCAGTGACCACCTCAAATGGGGGTTTGGCCTCCATGAAGCCTGCTGATGCCCTATGGGAGAACTCAGGGTGGGTGGGTCTCCTAGAGGTGGCTACAGCCTTGGGGCATGCGTGAAGGGCTCAACCTGCTCACCTGTCATGTCATTCAGTTCTTCACGCTCAGCTTCAGGAGGAACCTGACCAGGAGGGCTGTTGCCAGGTCAAGCATTGCTCCTGCAGTGCAGGAACTGGCAGCCCCAGCAGCCTGTGGGCAGAAAGCCTGTCATGGAGCAATGAGAGATCTAGGTTTGGCTGGCACGTTCCCATTCCTAGGGAAGGAAATCTGCATGCTCCAAGCTAGCAGGACTGGGGATGAGAACTGGGTGCTCACGAGGGAGGGTGAGAAGTGATGGGGGCACACTCCCGTTTAGAGGAGGAAGCTGCCATCTCCCATCCTGCTGCCACATGCACCCCAGTCTGCACCCTACACTCGATGCAAGACTTGATGGGCTCACTGAAGACTTCTGGGGCAGCTGCACTTCCTCCAGGAAGTTCGTTCCAGGCCTGCCCTCCCAGCACTGGTGTTGGACTCCTGCACTCAGGGTGGAAAGGGAGATCTCGAACAAGGAAGGCTGTTCTAGATCCTTGGAAGAGTTGATCCTCACAGACATGAACGTCTGAGTTGGCCACTCGGCAAGCAGGCCATGGAGTTCCCTGCCTGGGGTAAAGACTGCTGATCCCACGCAGCTCCAGGGGTGTTCCTTCCTTTCCACTTCCCATTTTCTTTTCCACACTTTTCTTAAGTCAACTTGTAAAGAACTGGGCAAGGTCTTCCTAATTTAAATTAATAACAGGACGTAAAGTGCAACACTTAAAAAAATTAATAAATCATGCTTGATATTTAGCTATGAAAGTTAAAGAACTCTATTCAAGTGCCAGAAGCCAAGGGGAGGGGATGGTCCCATCCACCATATTTTCCTGAACAGCTTCCCAAGAAAGCCTTATTTCTGGATGTCAACAACGACCCAGGCTGACATTTGGACTCTTATATATTCCCAGTCCATGTTCCTCCAAACTATTACCACTCCTTCAGCTCAGCTCGAGCCTCTCAACTCTCATCTTCCTCCAATTCATTCATTTAAAGCTGGTTATTCCATACATTAAATCTTTCCAGAGCTCCCCCTGATGGGCTCCCAACCAAGTTAATGCAGAGGACTAAGAGAATTGTTAGCTTCCTCAGGCGGAATCAAGAACCTCAGTCTCCTCCCACATTCTGCCTCCAACTCATGTGCAATTCATGGATTGCCAAGTGGACCCCTCCTTGCAACTCTCCACCCACTGCCCCCGAGCCCGGACACAAGGAGAACAAGGACTCACGTGTTCCTGAATGCCGCCCCATCAGCCCATTTCCAAATTTGGCTCTGGTCCTTCCAGAGGCCGATCCAGTGATCAGCGTTGCCCTTGTAACGCAGCAGGAACACCTGAGGTGCACACAGAAACAACTTAGAGCACCTTCTTGTGGCTTCACCATCTAACACTCTCCCAAAATGTCAGAAGGCATAAACGTAGTCTAGATGGAGAAGAAAAGGACATGGGCTGACAGTTAAGCCCTGAGATGCTGAGGAGCTGCTGGTGGGAATGAAGCTCAAACGGGAAAGAGGCCAAGAGGGTAGAAGAAAACTGTGCTGAGCCAGAAGGGAAGAAGTTAAAAGGGCAGGAAAGTGGCTGGATGTAGAGTGCAGGGAACAGGCTGGCAGAGGGAAGAGCCAAAGTGGAGCAGAGTATTCTACATGCAAAATGAGGGCCACGCACACCAAACTCTAGATATTTAGCCATTCCAAAGTTATTAAGCATTTCCAACACAATTAGAGTCATTGGCTTACTCACTGCCCATTCCGTACATTTGCATAATATCCACCTACTTCAGGACTTGTTTTATTTTTCGATTTAAGCTATCTTTTGCATTTGGAACATTGCAATAATAAATACCTTTTTATAATACCAGTGACATCCTATGATAAAAAGCTGCTATTTACATCCTGAGATAAGCCTGCCTCATGTTGACCCAAGCTCCACAAGAGGAAGAAGCTGGAACCTAAGGCTGAATGAGAACACATCTGCTCTGTGATCCATGAGGTTGCCATGCGATGCCACAACTTATGCAGGCGTATCATTAACAAACGGGCAGGGTCACTTCACAGGAGGATTCCCTGGAAATACAGCAAGGCTCGGGTGCTTCCTCAGACAATACAAGCCAGGGCTGTTTGCTTGCAACCTACCCACTGTTAAACTCCAGGAGCGTGGCTGCTCCTGTCCCAGCAATGACAGCACAAATTCTGCCAGGGAAAGTCTTTGTGCATGTTTCTAGGTCAGTCTTCCCCAAGATGGGAAACTTAGCTGCACTGCAAACCCCAATAGCCATGCTGGTTGCAGAGGATGGAAGCTGTAGTGCAAAACATGTGGAGGGCGTATACCTCGTTCTGACTCTGTGGGAAATAATTCCCACACAATAATACTTCCTGCACTTTTGCAGGCCTTGCCTTTTCCGGTTCACTCTCGATAGAGGCCAGCGATGAGCCACAGGAAGCGCAAAAGGCCTGGCTAGCAGTCCAGTTCCTCTCGTCTTCTGAGAAAAAGTAACATTTCCCTTCATAGCCGATCCACCCAGGGGTGCATGGGGGCACCAGAGGAATGCAGGCATTCTTCACACAGCTCATCTGCTTATCCTTCACTGCTGAACCTGAAAACGTAACAGGAAACACCACTCAGCAGACATAAGAGGAAGCATGCAGAGGAAAGCAGATGAAGGCAGAGAACGCAGCCGCTGAGAACTACAACTTGTGGTAGCTTCCTGCACTGCGAGCTTTTTAGTACCAAATCAAACGCGCAGGTCATGTTGCCGCACCAAAACCCCACACAGGCACTCAGAGAACCAAAGTATACACTGGAGGTGATGCAAGAGGGGCAATTGGAGTGGGGGACCCTGGGCAGTGACGTCCCTCGCCTTACATGACGCTCCCATCGGGGTTCCACGCCTTGCATGTGCATGTGATGGGCACTGTGGCCCTCAGATGATGCAGGAGCAAATCGGGGCTCCGAAGCCACGCTGCCAGAGGAGGAGACGAGCACTGCTGCAAATGACACAGGAGCAAACAGGAAGGCTTGAGGCAGAAGACTCACCCGAGAATCTGGCAATGCACAGGATGCTAGCGAAGACAAGTACCACTAAGATGGCAGTGGGAATATGCAGGATTCCTAAAAAGCAAGGAATAGGGTGACTTTGTGGAATCTTGTGCACAGCGTTGCTCAACTTACCTGAAGGAGGACATTACTGAGTTGGAAAAGGCACAGAAGGACTACAGAAATGCCCAGTGGGCTGGAGCAACTCTCCTGAGAGGAGCGGCAGCAGCAACTGGGACTGTTCAGCTCAGAAAAATGGTGAGTGGGAAGAAACATGCTGGGGCTGCTCAGAATTATGCATGGTGTGCAGAAAATGGAGACGGGGGCATTTTTCTTTTGTCTCTGGCCTCTTGGCAGAGCAGCAGAGGCACAGGCTGGGAGAGAGTGCTCAGTGGCCAGGGGACTGGCGAAGGCAAGGTAGGAGCTGGGCAGGGGAGCAGGGGCAGGAGCAGCGGAGCAGAAGGGGGCAGGGCCAGAGAGGCCAGAGGGGTCAGGAGGGAGCAGGGGGCAGGGCCACCGGCCTGAGGGACTAATAAGGCATCATCCCTTAGCTGCGGCCCGGGCTGTCCGGAGACTCCCTTCCCTGAGACACAGAGGTTTGTTTGTTTGTTTGTTTGTTTGTTTTTGTGCTGTGCTTTGCTTTGTTTTTCTTCCAATTTAAATTTAATCCTTGTGTGTGTGTGCGAGTGGGTTTTTGTCTGGGAGAACTGGGCGAGTGAGAGAGGGCAAAAAGGCAGGGGACCATGGTAAGGTCTCGGAAGGGATACTGATGGCAGAACAGGAGATGGCTGTGGTGGGAGTCACGGGTGTTGCTGTCCACTGCGAGAGCTGCGACATGTTCACCCGTCTCCCCCAGGAGAGGCAGGGATACACTTGCCCTCGGTGCAAGATGGTGACCCTGCTAGAAGAGGAGGTGAGGTCCCTGGGGGCCGAGAGAGCTCTCCAGGCCCCCCCTCTGGATAGAGGGTTGACGGAGAGGCCACAGGAGGAGGAGCTGCGGAGACATGGAGGTATGTCACCCACAGGAGGAGGAGGCCAGCACGGCCTCCTCCTCCTCCTGGCACCAATCTGGAGCTGGGAAACAGGTTCTCTCCGCTTGGGGAGGCTGGGGCTGATGAGGCCTCGGGGGACCAGCAGGACACCCAGTCTGGGACGTCAGGCGGCAAGGGGGCCACTGCGGGAGAGGCGAGGGCCAGGGCACAGCTGCCCACTAGCACCGGGAAGGTACGGCGGTGGGTGATTGTTGTTGGGGACTCCCTGCTGAGGGGCACTGAGGTGGCAGTGTGCTGCCCCAACCTGGAGACAAGTTGCCTGCCGGGCGCACGCATCCGGCATGTGAAAGACAGAGTGGAGCATCTTGTTCGCACCGGGGGTCACCAGCCGCACCTGAAGATCCATGTGGGCACAAACGATGTGGCCAGGCAGGGTGTGGTTGGGATCACCAGGAACTTTGAGGCCTTTGGGAAGAAACTCAGGGAGCTAAAGGCCCAAGTGGCCTTCTTGTCAATCTTACCTGTCCGGGATTTGGGTCAGGAAGGGACAGGAGGGCCTCCGAGGTGAATGATTGACTTAGGGTGTGGTGCCAGATGAAACGCTTCGGGTTCCCCAACCACGCCACTTGTTTTCTTGCCAATGGACTTCTGGCAAGGGACAGGTTACACCTCACAAGGATGGGGAAAAGGTCCTTTGGAGTCCAGAAGACTTTAAACTGAGCCGGGACGGGGTTCAGGCCCCCTAGTAATGTTTCTAGACTGGACAAGTGTGGGGGGAGGATCAGGGCTCTGGGAGCAGGGTTTTAGAGGTACTGCAGGGACTGACAGGACTCCTACAGAGAGGGGCCAGGTATCAGGGAGGATGGGAGGAAGGAGGAGGCTGGGAACTCCAAGGAAAGCAAGCGGTGGGAAGGTGTTGAGGTGTATGTACACCAATGCTAGGAGCATGGGTAATAAGCAGGAAGAGCTTGAAGCTCTCCTGGGAATAGGAGGGTATGACCTGGTGGGAATCACAGAAACTTGGTGGGATGAAAGGCAAGTCTGCAATGTGAACACAGAAGGGTATCACCTTTTTAGAAAGGATAGGAAGGGAGAGAGGTGGGGGCGTGGCTTTATACGTCAGGGAAGGGATAGGATGCAGTGAGATAGAATGCAGCACAGATGGGGATTCGGTAGAGGCAGTCTGGGTGAAACTTAGGGGTTTTGACAGGGAAAGAGACCTGACAGTGGGGGTGTGTTATCGCCCTCCAGGTCAACTTGAGACCCTGGATGATCCTGACAGGCCAGATTCTAAGGTTATCTCAGGGGAGAGACACAGTAATTGTGGGAGATTTCAATATCCTGGATATTAGTTGGGAGACTCACTCAACGGTGTCAGACAGGTCATGTCACTTCCTAGAAGCTATAGAGGGAGGGTTTTTCACACAGAGGGTCCGAGAGGCGACGAACATCCTTGACTTGGCCTTGACCAATAGGGAGGAGCTGATAGATGAAGTACAGATTAGGGGAGCTCTGGATGCGAGTGATCACTCCATCCTTTGCTTTGACATCAAGGGACTGGGGACATGCAGCAGGTCGAGCACTAGAAGCTGGGACTTCAAGAGAGCCAACTTTGGCCAACTGAAGGCCAGACTGGGGAAAGTCTCCTCGGATAAGGTACTGGAAGGCAAGCGAGTTGAGGAGGGGTGGATAGCACGCAAAAGGGAGGTTTTGGAGGTGCAAGCCTTGATGATACCTCTAGTCAGTAAGGTGGGGAGGTGGAGGAGAGTGCCGCCATGGATGCAAAAGGAGGTGGTTAGAGGGATTAGACGAAAGAGGAATCTCTATAGGAAATGGGAGCAAATAGACAAAAGGGTATACCGGTAGGAGAAGTCCTATTGCAGAAGGATTCTTCGCAAGGCTAAGGCTGATTACGAGCTGAGACTTGCCAAGAATATCAAGAGCAATAAAAAGGGCTTCTTTCAGCATGTAAATAGGAAGAGGAAGGGGAGACAAGTGGTGGGACCACTAAATAAGGAGGAAGGAGATCCAGCGACTGATATGAGGGAACAGGCAGAGATGCTAAATAACTATTTTGCCTCTGTGTTCTCCCCAAAGGAGGACGCAGGACATCCGCACAGGAGATTAGATGAGGCTGGGGACTTAGGGGCACAGATTAAAGTCACCCCCCCTTGAAGTCGAGGGGCTCCTCAGGGCATTGGACATTACAAAGGTGCCAGGCCCTGATGGGTTACACCCGAGAGTACTTAGAGAATTGGCAGGGGTTCTCTCACGCCTGCTGGGCTCCATTTTTGAGACCTCGTGGAGAACGGGTGAAGTTCCAGAGGACTGGAGGGTGGTCCCAATTTTCAAAAAGGGTAGTAGATGGGACATGGGGAATTATAGACTGGTTAGCCTTACATCCATTGTTGGAAAAACAATGGAAAGGCTCATAATAGAGAGAGATCTATTGATACTAGATAGGGAAGGGAGGCTGACAGCCACACAACACGGCTTCTGCAAAAACAGGTCCTGCCAGACAAACCTTGTAGAATTCTATGACAAGGTTTTGAGATGGCTAGATGGAGGGGATTGCAGTGGATGTGGTATACCTGAATTTCAGCAAGGCCTTTGACAAAGTGCCCCATGATATCCTGGTGGAGAAATTGAGGAGTTTTCGGATACACCAAAGCACTGTCTGGTGGATTAGGGCATGGTTGACTGACCGAAAGCAGAAGGTAACCATTAGCAGGGAATCATCGGGATGGCAGCCAGTGACAAGCGGGATCCCCTAGGGCTCTGTCCTGGGGCCGATCCTGTTTAATCTTTTCATTAACGACATGGAAGAAAGGGTAAACAGTCTGCTGGTCAAATTCGCAGATGACACTAAAACTGGAGCAGTGGCCACAACTGAGGAGCAGGTACTCCAGATCCAAAAGGATCTGGACAGACTATGGAAGTGGGCAGGAGACAACAGGATGGCGTTCAATGTGGATAAGTGCAAGGTCTTGCACTTGGGGCATAGGAACAGCTCTCATAAGTACAGGTTAGATGATAAGTGGCTGGAGAGCAGCTGTCGTGAAAGGGCCCTCGGGGTACTGGTTGACTGCAGGCTGAACATGAGTCAGCAGTGTGATGCGGGGGTCAATAGGGTGAACACCACCCTTGGTTGCATAGCCAGAAGTGTGGCTTCTAGATCGAGAGGGGTATTACTACCACTCTACACAACTCTAGTTTGCCTGCAACTGGAGTATTGTGTTCAGTTTTGCGCCCCTCATTACAGAAAGGATATAGCCAGGTTGGAGTCAGTGCAGCCTACGGCCACAAGGTCGGTGGCCGGTTTGCAGGGGATGCCGTAAGAGGCAAGACTGAGGGACTGGGTCTCTTCAGCCTGGAGAAGAGGAGACTCCGAGGGGATCTGTTGGCGACATACAGGTATGTGAGGGGATGTCACAAGGAGATGGGTAGAGATCTGTTCTCCCCTGCAGAGGAAGGCAGAACACGCTCTAACGCAGCAAAGCTCAGGGAGCCAAGGTTCCGTTTGGATGCCAGGAAGCACTTCCTGACAGTCAGGACCCCGAGGGTGTGGAATGGGCTTCCACGAGAGGTCAATGAGGTCCCATTGGTGCGGTTGTTCAAGGATAGGCTAGACGTCCACATGGTGGGTATGTCGTGAGCGGAGCCGGCTGGTGCCGAGGGTCAGACTAGATGGCCCAGGAGGCCCCTTCTGACTCGCTCTGTTTCTATGTTTCCCCCTATCCACTAATACTAGAACCCAGGGTCATCCCGTGAAGCTGAAATACTGCACACAACATACAATGCAACTATGGAATTACCTGCCATGGGCCAAGGCCACCAATTTGGAAGGCTCCAAAAGGGGACTGGCCAAATGCAGGGCGAGGGGGTTATCGTGACTACCAGCCACGCTGGCTATGTGCAGTCTTGGTTACCAGAAGAAGCCACCTGCATCCCCCAGTTGCTGAGGAGCCTGGGCAGGAGGGGTCTTGCACCCTTCCTACAGGACGGATCCTACATGAGTAATCCCCCCCCCTCCTCCGGGCAGCTGGTTTATCCCCTTGTGAACAGAGTGCTGGACTGTATGGACCAGTGCTCTGATCCAGCATGGCTTTGCTTATGTCCTTAACTGAGACAGAAATGATGCACCCCATCATGCTTGCAATCCAGGGCTGGGAAGAATGATTTTTTTATCTTGCCTGGAAGGGGTGTTTCTCCACAGGCCACAGGAACAGGCATATGGAATTAAGTCTGTATGACCATTAGTTTTGTTCCAAATCCCAGAGCCGTTGTTCTGTATTCAGAATGGGAAAGTCCAGACGATGCAGCTTCACTGCATCATGCAATTTAAGAAAATATGCACATCCTGCTTCTGTCCAGGTCCCAGACAAGCCCCACAGGCAGGACTTCTAGGCACACGACAGAGAGACCTGCAACACAAGGGAGTCAGCTACTGCTGGGCACGTGTTCTGAATTCCTGGTCGACTGCAGAAGTGGACAGGCCTTCAGGATTGTGCTTTGATGGCCAGAGAATGAGCTAATCCCCCATCTGCAGCTGCAGCCTTCCCGAGCAGGATTTCTGATGGCTTGGCAAGCACGGCTGGAACAGTCTGGAAAACCCTTTGTGCAAATGATGTGCCACTTGCTCATGCTCAAACTCAAGCTACCAGCTGTGCCGCCATTTAGAGGTATATTCATGTCTCACCAACTTGTGTGCCTGGCCTTCCAGCAATCTCCTGACCTCACCCAGTCCCAAGCCAGAGCTCCTCTTGGCACTTCAGGAGCAGAACAAGCTTTGCTGCATGAGAACTTCCTCCCAGCACATCAGCCTGTACTGAGGCCCTGGGTGGAAGAGTGACGCTCCATCCACACCTTGGCTGGTGCGTTTCCCTTTGCTCCAGGCCTCCCCTTTCCTCAAGCACAATGCAGCCCATCCCCACTGGCAGATGGCCCTCCCCGCATGCGTGTTAGGATCCAGGTGGTGCAAACTGGGAGTGAAGGGCAAGTCCTTTCTGAAAACAGAGCTGCCCTGCGGATCGTATGGTGTGCCCAAGTTATGGCCTGGCGCCAAGGCCCTGCGTGCCCCTCTCACCTACCTGGTTGTATTCCAGAACAACAATGCTCTTTTCTCTTCAGGTGCACATCCTCAAAGGCTGCTCTCTGTTCAGGGGTCTCCTCAATCCCGCTCTCTTCAGCAACTTCATCTCTCCTTAGCATTTCCCCTTTTGCATTGCTGACTAGTGAAAAATGGCACAAAAGAACAAGAAAAGCCTGAATGAATGGGAAACTCTGGATAGCAGGAAGTTCTGGCCATCTAGAAGCTTTCTATGGGCCACAGAATTACACCGTGAGCTGCCCTTTCCTGTACTGATCAAGAGGTTTGATGAAACACAGAAGAGTGTTGTTACTCATCCATTATCTTCTGCAGCTGGGCATAGAAAAGGGATCAGCCTTGGAGAGCAGCATCTAGAAGTACAAGGGAGGAGAGGGATCCCACCCCCTTATCAAAAGATGGGAAGGAGCCATGTGGACAAAGCGACCTGAGGGCCTTGGTAGGAGTTGGATCCACAAATTCTAAAATGGATCCTCGTGATATGATTTCTAAGGGGACATGTTCTAAACAGAATCAGATCACAGGGTGCATCGGCCTCCATGGATTGAACCATAAACACCATGGCTCTGGCACTCCCTGATGCTGCCACAGGGAAAAAACACGGATCCCTTCATCCGAGATTCCATGAATGGCCCATCTCCCTCCGCAGACCGAACCGTGAACACCATGGATCCAGGCCTCGTTGGTGCAGTCGCAGTGCAAAATGTGGACCCAAGAATAGATCCTGATGGTTTTACAGCAGCAATCTCCAAAACTGCCATTAGTCATGTAACTTCGGATCATCAAACTCGTGCATTTGGAACTTGGCAGCACAACGCAGCACAAACATGGGAAGAAATAAAATCCGGGTCCATTAAACCAAATATGGATCCTCAAGACTTTCAAAGAGAGCACAGCTAAAACTGCCATCCAGTCACAGCAATCCTGTCCTTCATGGTCTGAACCACAAACATCATGGATCCGGCACTAGATGGTGCTGCCATGTTACAAAAGAATGAATGTGAAGCACACGTCCTCACAACTCCTGTTTTTACGTGGAAAACCCTCCAAACGCTGAGCACATCTGCATGTTGATTTTGGTTGAATGCTGCCAGTGTCATGGTTTTGGCCAAGGGACCAGCTTTTGTGCCCTGGCAATGCCATTGATCAGCGATTTCCATGCTTCAGTCCACAAAGGCAGATGTAATTCGGGACAGATTAGATTTCCCTGGAAATAGTCATGGAGATCCATTCTGGATATCGCTGCTTTTGCACCACAGTGTCACCTACACGTGCCAGGTCCATGATTTCATGGTTCAGTGAACAGAGGCAAATGTGCTGTGTGCTTTGATTGTAGTCTGATGCTGTCCTCCTTTGAAATTTTATGGAATCAGCAAGATCCGTGTCATGGATTCATGTTTTTGTGGGTCCAAGTCACTGGAACTGGGATGTTTACCAGTCACTAGGTGGCATCAGCTGTTCTATGTAACTGGAGGTTGCTTTGGGATGTGTCCCCTTTAAATAGCAAGCCATGAAGAACCTTCTTTTATTTAGTGCACCTGTCCTCCTTCCCGTCACAAGGACGGTACATTTCATAGTACAAGGCACAGACACACGCTCTTTTTGCGGCAGATTCAAGTTCACAGGACTTATCGATCCTGATTTCCAGGGACCGCCAATCAACCCATCGCCTTTCTGCCCCGAAAGAAGAAACCAGGAACTTCAGAAAGAAAAAAGAAGCAGCAGCTGCTGCTTAGAGAGGCTTCCCTTTTTCCTATGCCCCGGAACACACCAGAACAAAAGGCAAAACAATCCAAAATGCGCCGTCCCCGAGGATTTCGTTGCCATCGACCACCCAGTGAAGCAAAGGGCGCCCCTAACGCGCGGTCGAGCCTCAGCAGCCCCGTGCCGCTTCCAGCCCATCACTGTCGCCCCACCCGCCATTTTCCCAACCAGCCTGCGCACCCCTAACTCCTCCGCAACTCGAAAGGAAAAAGGGGGCCCGCGGGGTGCAGCTGAACTTTATAAAGACAGAGAAAGGCCTTGCCTGAAGGCTGCGAGTCAGACTCGCGGTAACGGTCCTTCCGGGGAGCAACAGCTGAAAAACCAATGGGATGATGCAAGACCCGGCCCAGAATCCAGGCATCCCTGGATCCAGAGGTGGCCGCCTATTATAGACCGGTGGCCAACATGCTTTTCTTGGGCAAGGTGCTAGAGCGGGTGGGGGCAGGACAACTCCAGGCACTCTTGGATGAAACTGAGTATCTGGACCCATTTCAGTCCGGCTTCAGACCCAGGTAAAGTATTTTAAATTTTTAGCCGAGATGCTACCCGGCTTTTTAATCTCTAATTGTATCAATTGTTATTTATATGTTTTAATTATGCTGTGAGCCGCCCCGAGGCTTTGTTGCAATTGGGGTGGCATAGAAATATTTTAAATAAATAAATAAATAAATCCAAAGACCTCAATACAAGACAGCAAGAGGGATTTTCTACAAAGGGTATTAGTAAAGGTATTAATGCACCAATCAATAGGCATAACCTACACAACTAGACCCTAATGCTGGGAACAATTGACGGCAAAAGAAGAAGGGGACGGCAGAGGATGAGGTGGCTGAATGGAGTCACTGAAACAGTTGGTGTGAGCTTAGGTGGACTCCGGGGGATGGTGGAGGACAGGAAGGCCTGGAGGAGTGTTGTCCATGGGGTCGTGATGTGTCGGGCACGAATTCGTCAAACACATGACACAGCACATCTAGGTGTAATCCCGCAAACATCAACATAGCGCTGAACCAGGAAAAAAAGGCTTTTCTTTAGACCTCAGCATGTGGCATCCTTCAAATGTAGCTAACACTGGCCAGGCACCAGTCCAGGAAAGCTACTTGGCAGCTCGAGCAAAAGGCAGTTCAGCCCAGCCCAGCCCCTTCTTCTTATATGTAACAGCACCACTTCCTGGCAAATCCTTCCAAGCATCTGTTTTGATTTGCACGTGGGAAAGATCACGTCATTGCAACTCTTCACTTCTGCCAGCTACTGGAAAGTGTTAACCGTGTTACCTGCAGTCCTTTAATGATCACGATATAAAAGCGTCACCTGAGGACTGCCCAGGTGCACCATCTGGAACGAATCATTGGCAGCCAGTTAGTCTCAAGGATAAATCTTAACAGCTTCCGCGGCTAACAATAGGATTCTTGGCACAAGATGTCTACTCCGTTCCGTATTTTTATTGTTCCCTCCCTGCTTCCCATCCGCCAACAACTGACGTGGATTTTTTTCTGTAGCCTAAACACGCTGCAACATAATCAAAGCGACCAATTGCAGCCGCAGAGAGCTTCTCATGTGAACTTCAGCAGCAGGTGACCAGTGGAGTGAAGGAAGGAAGAGAAGGGAAGTAACAACAGAAAAGCATCTGCGCAAGCCTGTCATAACGATTCTCACTTTGGGGAAGCGGAGTGAAGGCAAAGGCTGCAGCCTGTAAGTGCGGCTGGAAGAGGGATTTCGCGCAGAGGGTGCCTAAAATCCAGGCTGAGTGTGGGGGCAACGCGCACTGCCCCAGCGCAGGCGAGCTCCGGAAGAGCGCCCGATCCAGCGCTGCGGGTCCGAAGACCTCGCCCGCCGCTCTTGTGTCTTCGTTGCCACTGACTTTCTGCGAGCGGGGGAAATGGAGGCGAGAGATGCGCAGGAGGGTGGGGGATTGGACAGATTCTCGTTGGAGGAGGTTCCCGGTGGCTATCAGTCTTTCTGGCTGTGTGCCAACGCTTTCCCAGAGCTGGCATTTCTGCTGAAGAACTTGGGAAGGTGGTCTTGCACCCATCCTTCCCGAGGGATCCTGTGGGCAACTAGTCCGTGTGTACAGAGTGGACTACGGCTCCTTCTGTCGGATCCACCATGGTTGTTCTCATGCATGACCATGGCATAATCATATTAGCCAGATCTGGAAGCTTCCTCCAAGATCCACAGTTTGTATCTTCTGATGTGGCTTGATCTCCATGCTCTGAATACCCTGAGCAGAACAACTTTTGCTCCCCATCTGGATTTAACAGGATGGAATGGTTTCTAAGAAAAATCTCCCTATAGCTCTTCTCATGCCTTTTGTTATGTGCCAGATGCAAATTCCTACACAGATGCAAAGTTAGAAACACAGAAACTGAGCGACTCAGAAGGTGCCTTCCGGGCCATCTAGCCTGACCCCTGGCTGCGCTCTTGACATGCCTACCATGTGCATGTTTAGCCCATCCTTGAACAGCCACACCAATGGTTCCTGAACCACCACCCGTGAAAGCCCATTCCATATCCTGGGGGTCCCAACTGTCAGGAAGTACTTCCTGACATCCAAACTGAACCTCATTTCCTTGAACTTGGCTCCGTTGGAATGCATTCTGCCTTCCTATGCAGGAGAGAACAGGTCTCTACCCACCTCCATGTGACATCCCCTCACATACCTGTATGTCGCAACAGATCCCCTCTGAGTCTCCTCTTCCCCAGGCTGAAGAGGCCCAGTTTCCTCAGTCTCACCTCATACCCCATCCTCTGCAAACCGGCCACCAACCTTGCGGCCCTATGCTGCACTGTCTCTAACCTGACTATATCCTTCCTGTAATGAGGGGCCCAAAACTGAACACAATACTCCAGTTTATGTCATCCCTAAAGACATCAGGATACTCCTGCACCAATGTTATCTGGAAACTTAACACTCTCTATTGGTGTACATTTCTAACAGGTTATAAAAGTGTCTGTACATGGGCTGTGATGTTGTAGTTGAGTTGCCTCTATCCAGTAATATATTATTGTTAGTGACTGGAGGTATTGGGCCACCGATCTATAAAGCAGCCAAGGTCAGCCAAAACTGAGGTTCTCAGCCAAAACTGAGGTTCTCCCATAAGGTGGAGGCACTCCAGGGAAAAGTCGGCTAGATCCTTAATTTGTTGTATTCAGGCTGGTTAATTCTGGATGCAGTGGGGTGTCTGGAATACAATTTGGTCTAAACTTTTAGTCTGGAGGTCTCCGACATCAGGAAAAGCTTCCTCACTGTCAGCAAGACGACAGTGGAATCAGCTGCCTAGAGAGGTGTTGGGCTCTCCCACACTAGAGACATTCAGAAAGAAACTGGTCAGCCCTCTGGGTGGGATGGTGTAACATGGTGTCCTGCACCAGCAGGGGGGTGGACATGATGGCCTTCATGGCCCCTTCCAACTCTACTCTTCTGTGATTCTTTCAATTTATCTCAAGACCTCAAGATCTAATGTGTGGGCTTGGTGGTTTATTGGTACCAGTCAAGATAGTCCCACGGAATCTGGGGAATCAGTCCACTCTTAGACTCTACCGCACCTTTCAAATGCACTATGCGAACCAAGTGAAATATTCCATCTGGGAGTTTTCTGGGTGTCAGGGAAACAGTGGAACTGCCCCTAGTGATGAAAGATCTTACTGCAGGCTTCAACCACAGAGTCTCATTGAAATTAATCAAAATTGATTAATGCCTTGTATGAAGTAAACCAGGGGTCCTCAAATTTTTTCAACAGTTGAAAGGCGGCGGCAATGGGCGTGGGCCAGTGAGGCAGGGGTGCCCACAGGCACATGTGCGGCAGCTTGCTCGTTTGGAGATCTCCGAGCAAGGCCAAAACCATCTCCAGATCCAGCCCACGGGACATAGTTTGAGAACCCATGAACTAAACCACCACAAAGGGCACATTTAGCTCTGTGTGTGCAAGTTTCAGGTGCCAAGTTTCACAGACTTGCTGCTACAGTGCTAATGGTCAAGTCGATATGCATTTTTTTCGTTCTGCATGTGGACTCATGCATTTGAACATTGTTCAAAGGACGCACGCAAGGACTCACACCTTGTTTTGGTTGCTGCTACATGTATTGAAATGTAATTAGTACTGACTACAAATTAAAAACTATGGTGCTAATCCCAAGCTCATCTGCTACACTGACACCCAAACAACTATGCTCAAGATTTTACACTGAAGGAGCACGGAAGTGCTTCCAGTTAAGGTGAATCCGTTTAAAAACCAAGAAGTTTCCGCCACTGTAAATCTCAAAATCCTATTGCCCAGTTGAGCTAATGCTGTGACACATGTTCTCTGGCATCTACCTGATGAGTTCTACAGTCAGCCTTCTTTTCAAAGTCATCTGATATAAATTGCAACAGGTGCAGCAAATTAAAAGTGCAGAAAAGCAACCCTTTTACTTCCATGATATATATTGCTTTCAAAAGCTGCTGAACACTACCAATGAAACTCTTCTCAGGCTTCTTCGAGAACTATTATACACTATGGGAACAGCTATTGCCAAGAGTGTGTGGTATCCATGATCGGCTGAGTGGTCAGTAACATTCTGAGGCTAGAATGCAGCTAGTGCTCGATGGGAAGGCGACTGTCTGCAGGGAAGCATCCCTGAGTCTGCCTGGAATTTTAGATCCCTAATTCAAGCATGCCCAGAATTATCCTCATCAGCATTCTAACATTTGCACACATCTAACTATTTGTTTGGGTATGTATGTATGTATGTATGTATGTATGCAAGGTATTTGTATGCTGTCCTTTGCGGGAGCCTCAGGACGGCTTACACAAATAAAATTCCAAAATACATAACAATAAAGGCAAAGGTTTTCCCTTGACATTAAGTCCAGTCATGCCTGTCTCCAGGGGGCGGTGCTCATCTGTTTCCTAGCCGAGGGAGCCAGCGCTTGTCTGCAGACAGTCTCCGTGGTCACGTGGCCGGCATGACTAAACACCGAGGTGCACGGAACGCTGCTACCTGCCCACCAAACTGGTACCTTTTTATCTACTTGCATTTGCATGCTTTCTAACTGCAAGGTTGGCAGGAGCTGGAACGGAGCAACGGGAACTCACCCCGTTGTGCAGATTCGAACCGGCAACCTTTTGATCAACCAACCCAGCAGCACAGCGGTTTAAACCACTGCGCCACTTGCAGTCTCATAATACATAATACAAACAAATTGGCAACCCACTCTGGCTACAATTAAAATAGGATAATAAAATTCAATATTAAAACTTATTAAAATATTGATTAAATAAAAAGGTCTTAACCTGGCACCGAAAAACATATGACAGTGCCAGGCGGACCTCTCTGGGGAGCGCATTCCATAGACGGGGTGCCACCACAGAGAAGGCCCTCCTCTGGGTACTCTGTCTAATATCTTTCATGGAGGGTTCCCGGAGGAGGGCCTCTGCTGCCGATCTCAGGGGGCGGGAAGGAAAATAGGGAAAAAGGCATTCCTTTAGGTATCCTGGTCCCAAGCTGTTTAGGGCTTCATAGGTAATAACCAGCACCTTGAATTGAGCCCGGACTTTGATGGGAAGCCATTGGAGCTGATAGAGGACTGGGGTTATATGAGAATAACGCCCAGTCCCCAACAGCATCCTGGCAGCTGTTTTGAACCATCTGTATTTATGTTTCTTCCTCTCATTACATGGTCGTAATTAAGGCCATTTTAAAAAACCAGAGAAATTCAGTGATAAAGTGCCAGTTGAGACATCATCTCTCATGATGGTGAAAGAACCACAGAGTCAGGAAACAGGAAGTGTGAGTTGAACTCTGTGTGCGTTGCCTGTATGTTTGTGCAGGATTAGTAGGCATGGTTAAGGTTTTGACATTTGTCAACTGTGCAGAGTGCTTTGCTTATTGGCAGCTGCACCTGAACTAATTTTTAGCTAGCTGTAACTCAGCACAGCCAACTAGTTATGTCAGCGATGCCATTTCATGGAAAACTCTCCTTTTGGACTGTTGGGATTTTTGTCGAAGTCAAAGCCATGCGCTCCATCCTTCTAGCATGTGAATTCCCTCCCTCTGGCTCCTGCTCTTGGGGAACCACAGGGGCATCCCACAAATGTCCTGGCTCCTCCTCTAAGGAGGGAAGTCATCTGCAGCCACAACCACTCAGTCGGACTGCGGCTGGGGCTCACTGCACAGGCTTCCATCTTCTGAGGGACATTGGAGGCAATTGTCCTTGGAGGCAACACTCTTTTGCTTCTATGGAACTTGCTTAGCGCCAAAAATGTTGCTGCACCTTCGCCTGCTTCACACACCCACCAACCGCATTTCTCTTCCTACCATTGCCTTTATGGGGCAACGTGATATAACGATGCCTTCACAATTGAGCAAGCCCCTGTCTTATCACAAGGAAAAGCCTCAGGCCACCCAGACAACATATAAACCATAATTAAACAGCACTTCTTACCTTTCTGTGGGGGTAATTGCATGCAGTCCTTTTGCCACCATGCCCCAGGAGGGTCAGGGAGTTCTGAGTGCCCTGGAGCCCAAATGAGCCTAGGCGTGTTGGATTTTCAAGACACCCAGAGCAATGCTGACACACATGCTCAATGACAGCAGACTTGCCTGGGCAAAAATAAGGTTCCATAGGCCTTATCACCCCACCCCTTTTGCGCACATGGCCTTGTGAGTGAGCCACATGAGCAAATCAGCTCTCATCCAAGAGCAGTAGTGGCAGCAGCATCCCTGGGCCTCACGGCATGGCATGGCAACAGCAGTGGGCGACAACGGAGGACCCGTCAGAAACAGACTGCTGCTCATGCTTAGAAAGGACAGTTGCTTAGAAAGCAGTTAATACAATCAATGTAATTACACGTGGTCTTCGATCAGAAATAGACAACTTAAATCAAATAACGATGGCAAATAGACTGGCTTTAGACCACCTTTGAGCACACCGAGAGGGTTTTTTGTAAAGCTGTGGGTTCTGCTTGTAAGGTAACTTTCCATGCCCTTAATAAAACTTGAAGTAGAAAAATTAGCTCAGATGGTGAAGTATAATCTTGCAAGTGTGAGTATCTGGGGTGGTTATCAGGGACTGGGTAGATTCAAAGCATGTTGAAAGAACTAGTCTCCGTCTCATGTGTTTCAGCATGCAGGGCGTGGACAGCTGACTGGAGCACCAGGACCCAGGCAACCAGGGTACAGCACACAGCTCAGAGTCAGGAGCTGCAACACTAGACACTGTCCGTTGAAGAAGAAAGCATAGTCAGACAAGCCGAGCATCAGGAAACCAGGAAGAGAAGCCAAAGGGAATAGGTACCTTGAGGGCTGGAACAAAGCACAAGCCAGGAGCACTTCAGCAAATCAAAACAACCTTCATTGCTGAGGCAGCTTCTGGAGAGAAGAGCCAAATCTTATATCGCTCTGCTCCCAGGTGGAGCTCATGGGAGCCCTGGCAGCTTCAGTAAAACTGGGGTAGTGATCCTGTAACTACCAGGGCTGCTGTGCTGGTCCTTGGCCAGCAGAGGGAGCCCTGAAGCTGCCTCTGGTCCTGACAACGTGGAAGTGTTGGCATGGGCATGTGTATTTGCTGTGTAATGATGTTTCTCTTTGTACGTGAAAAGGCATGCCACTAAGATCCCTTCAGGAGAAACTTTACCCTGGAAGTGTTGCAGAGAGAGCATGGCGAAGGTGAACGTATTTTGACAAAGGAAGAATGGCTTAAGTGAAATAAAATAGATACAGCTGAACAATGTACACTGCTGCTGCGATATACTTGCAGCAAAAGGGGGGATCTGTTAGGAATCAGTCAAAGGAAAGGATTAGGTTGGAGTGACATGGACTTTATAACAGTGCAGAAGAATCAGAGAACAGAGGCAGGCAGCCTTGGTTTTGCCTGTTTGCTTCTAACCTTGAGTGTTAAATAAAATGTTATTGTTAGTGGCAAAGGTTGCTTAGGAAAACAACGTAGAGTGAATAACTCAAACCATAACTGTGTGCTTAGTTATGCATTTCTGCGATGCTTCCTGGCATGTATACATTTCTGGCACACTGTCAAAAGGAGCAGCGGCTATAAACCTGCTCTCTTGCACACCGTCACATGTGTGCTTCTGTAGTGCTGCCCTAATCAAACCACTGCCTTTTCTTTAACTTTCTGCACACCTGTCAGTTATGCTCTGACAATACACACTGGAGTGGGTGTCCCGCTCTTTGCCCACGAATTCCAAGTCACTGTATCACCTTTCAAAGAAATGGCCAATTCTATCCCAAGATGAAGGCCTCAGGTTTGGTTTGTATGGTTTGCACATGCAGTCAAGCAAGGGTCCAGGATGCAAGCCAAAAAATTTAGGAATCCAATCAATCCAAATGAAGCCAAAGAAGCTGGTGGCAGTTCCTGTGGTTTGTCAGGCTCTGGAGGACCTAATTTACAGCCAGCTGTAAATCAGCACAGTTGGCTAATTGGGTCAGAGTGTTCCTTTTCAGGAGGCTCCACGCTCTGGCTGCTGCTTGAACTTCTGCTGGATCCCTGAAATTCTCCTTTCTATGGGGTAACTTTGGTCTGATTCTAGCTCCTGCCCTTGAGGAATTCCAGGGACTGCCCAGAAGGGCTCCAGCTGTTCCTCTGATGCGAGGCAGTCGGTTGTAGCCTCTTCAGCTGAAGAAACCTCCTCCAGGTGGGACATGACAGTGGGACTCATTGACAATTAACAATGGTTAAAAAAGAAATATTTGAGGATCAGTGAAAAAAATGCACAGTAAATGGGACCTGAGGAGGAATAGCAAGGTGTCTAGCCATGTTTCTTGGATTTCACTCTCCTAATGGATACCTATGCTTTGCAGCACCAGGGTGGCTGCAAATCCAATGCCTGGGGATGTGACAACGAGAGACAATGGCAGTGTCTGTGCTTAGACAAGCACAGTCTGCTCCTTCTCCTTCCATGGCCACCCTGCAACACAAGAAGCAAAGATCAAGCCAAGCTGTTCCCACTTCCATGGGTGGAAAGAGCATTCCAAGATGAACCATGAGAAAACAGAGTCCATTTCTGTCTCATCAGTGTTTCACAGCTCCCCACTTCAGACACTGTCAACACTTCATGAAAAGCAACAAATGTGATTTGTTTGTTTAGTTGCAAAGTTGTGCCCGGCACATCACAAGTGCATGGACAACATTCCTCCAGGCTCTCCTGTCCTCCACCATCCCTTGGACTTTACCCAAGTTCACACCCACCGCCCCAGTGACTTTATTCACAGGTTCAGCCCAACTCTCTCAATTCTCAATTTCCTTCAATGCATTACTTTAAACACTGGTTTCTTTTTGCAACAGCCTTCTGCCACCGTCTGTGTCCAACAATGAATTGCCAAGTGAACCCGACTTTCTCACCCACTGCCCTAAAACCCTGACACAAGAAGAACAAGGACTCACGTGTTCCTGAACTCCGCCCCATCTGCCCATTTCCAAGCTTCACTCTGGTCTTTTGAGAGGCCGATCCAGTGATCAGCCCTGCCCTTGTAACGCAGCAGGAACACCTGAGGTGCACACAGAAACAACTTAGAATACCATCTTGGAATGGGCCTACTGCAAAATGTCAGAAGGTAGACTAGATAGAGAAGAAAAGGACATGGGCTGACAGTTAAGCCGTGAGATGCTGAGGAAGTGCTGATGGAATGGAGATCAGCCCTTACTTTAATACACTGAAGCCTTCAAGCAAATCTACAGAACTATCAGAGTTGGAGGCATTGTGAGCCTCCTGTCTGACTGAAGGCATCCCTGCTGGAACCCCTGGCATGGTCCCTGCACTGGGCACCCCTATAGCCCCCTGGGAGAGGCTCTGCCCTCCTTATTCCCAGGAGGGGAGTTTTCTCACAGCAGGGAGCTGGTGCACTGCCCCTAGTGTCTAACAATATTACTACAGGCTTCCGCCACACACAGAAATTAATTTAAATGAATTAATGTGTTTTACAAACTAAAAAACCTCCAAAGGTGACACCTGGTTGTATGCATGCCATGCTTCAGGTGTCCAAGTGTCAGACTTGGTGCTTTGGCACTCAAGGATAAAGGGCTGCACATCTTCTCTTCTACATGAGGAGTGTAAGAATTAGAATGGATTCTTTTGGTTATTGCCAAACAAACAATTATACATATTGAAATGGAATTCATACAGACAACACATTTTAAACTACCATGCCAATTCTGACCTCATCCTGCACACTGATACCAAAATCACTAGTTATGTTCACAAATTTGTACTTCATTGTGATTGTCACAATTTTATACTTAATTGTCCAGATACTTCAGCTGGTCAGTCTAGATACTTCAGTTGGTTCAGAAGAGAGCAGCCAGGTTGCTAGCAGGAACTGGCAAATGCACACACATAGTGCTGGGCTTGTACCATCTGCACTGGCTTCCAACTAAAGCCCAGGCCCAATTTAAGGTGCTAGTGATGACTTATACAGCCCTAAATGGCTTAGGACCAAGGTATTTAAAGGAGTGCCTCCTTCCACATATACTTGCCTGGCCTGTAAGATCTAGAGTGGAGGACCTTCTTCTGGAGCCCTCTTTGAAGGAGATCAGAAGAGTGGCTACCCGGAAAAGGGCCTTCTCTGTGGTGGTGCCCCAGCTAAAGAATGGGCTCCCAGAGAGGTGCATCTGGAACCAACACTTTTTTCATTTTGATGCCAGGCCAAAACCTTTTTATTTTCCCATTATTTTAAATTTATTTATTCATTTTATTTATTACTTATTAAAAGCTTTTGTATGCCGTCCTTTATATAAATATCTCAGGATGGCTTACAGCAATATAAAAACAATTTAAAACATATAATAACATCATTCACAGATTAAAACAGTGATACCGTATGAAACAATAAACATCAAATTAATCAAATTAAATCAAAATAGAACAAAGCAAAAGTTAACTATTAACTGTTAAAGCACCACTTAAATAAAGAGGTTTTATTTGTTAGTAGTCTTTTAAGATTGCTTTTATGTATTATTATCTGGCTACTGTATCTTATTTATTGTATCGTATTACCGCCCTGAACACTGTGAAGGGTTATAAAAGCTATAAATAAATTAAATTCTTAAAAAGCACAGAACTACCTCTATATAAGGTGAAACATGCTGATACAACAAAAAGCTTCTACTACTATAAACCTCACAATCCTGTTACTTATATAAATGATATCAGTTGAGCTGATACTGTGACACTGTAATAATAATGCAACAGATAAATTAATGAAAATGAAATGAATTAAGCTGGTGAATGTCCCTATTCTGAAAAACTATGGAAGGTACAAGTGCTTCATTTTCCCCCCAATCATCTGGGAGACCTATTAACTCAGCTTGTCTCAAAATTCACATTTGCTCCATATCCTGAATTTCTAAATTATCATGAAATTGTTTTGCAAAGCAGCAAATAAAATGGTGGTCCAGCAGACAAGATGGAGAATGTATTTATGTGATGACACAAATTATATCTGGGAGAGTATCTGTGATTCCATTAGGATCTGTATAGCCCAGCCACCCCAAGTTCTATTGTTTTTTTTCATATCGCTTAAGTTCCTGATCCTGACTAATTTTGGAAGCCAAGCAGGGTCAGGCCTGGTAGAAATCTGGATGGGTGTCTGAAAATGTTGTGTACCATCCACAGAGCTTTGGCTATGATTGACACAGACATATAGTATAATACTAAATGATAATTTCTTCAGTCCCACCTTTTCTGACTCAGTCTCAATTCTGGCCAGGAATGAGCCATGGGAAGAGCAGAAGTTCTGGCCATGAGTCCAATTTCCTTCTTCTTCTGAGAAAAAGTAACATTTCCCTTCGTAGCCAATCCACCCAGCTGCACAAGGCTCAGGGCAGTATTCATGCTTACACTTTGCAGGAAAAGGTAAACCTGTAAGAGGAAGAACTATTCAATCAGCCGTTTTAATGAGCTCCAGAATTGTCCCACATCCTTCTGGAAGTTGTAGTCCAACAGATGATGGAAGCCTGATGTAGGCACTAGGTCTGAGCAGTCTAGAACAAGAATTTGCAGGGGCTTGTAATTCCAAATCAAAACAGCATTTAGCACAGAGAAGCAGCACAGTACATCTTGCAGTAATATCATGTTCTTTCCCATGGTGTGCAACCAAGAAAGCCTGCTCCTTTTTGCAAGTGCAGTGTATGCAGCTTGTGGAGACTGGATATATTGAACAAGCAGGATGGATTTCCACCACCAAAAGCCCACGTAGGCACGCAGATTACAGGCAAGGCAGTAGCAGCAGCTCCAGAAAGGGGACAGATGACACAGAGAACCAGTAGGAGTGGGCTGGATCCATGGCAGTTCTTTTCCAGAGATGAAGTCCTTGTTAAGGGTTTCATTACTTCGGCTTGCATATAATGCCTTGTTTGGCCCACTGATGAAGCAGAGGAAAAGCGACCTGGACTGGAAAAAATATCAGGGAAAGCAGACTCCCTGCCTTGCCTTTCAGTTCTACTCCCAGACCCAAGCCCAATTTACCTTTACCAAGAGCACCATAAGACATGCTTCCCAAGGCTCCTTACGAGGCTACTCCAGAGAACACTGGTTGGGGGAATGCCTGTGGTTCTCTCCCATTGCAGTGACTGGCTTGGAGAGAGTTCAAGTTCTGGAATTCAGACACTCCACAGGTGGAATGGGAAGGAACTGGCGCACTCAGCACCGCTAGACATGAATTGACCCTTAGAAGCTGAACTGCTGAAGCCAGAGATGTAGGTGAACATCTCCACGAAGAAGCAAGTAGGAAAACTTGAGCCTGAAAACTCACCATAGAATCTAGCAATGACAAGGATGGCAGCGATGACGACAATGACGACTACTACTAGCATCAATATAATCCACAGGGTTATGTTTCCTCCTCGGCACACAGTATTAGCACTCCCTGAAAGGAAATAAGGCACAAAATGACGCTGTAGACCAGGAGTCCTCAAACTTTTTCGATAGGGGGCCAGTTGAAAGGCCGCGGCTACATGCGCAGGCCGGTGAGGTAGGGGTGCCTGGGAGCGTCGGCCGGTGAGGTGCTGTCGGGCGCGCATGAGGCGGCATCGGGCGCGTGCAGTGGTGGCCTGCTCGCTCGAAGACCATCTCCGATCGAGTGAGCCACCCCCTCCCCGCGTGCATATGGGAGGCAGGCGGCAGCTTGCTCGCTCAGAGACCATCTCTGATCTAGCGAGCCACCACCTCCCCGCCCACGCAGCAAGCACGCATGGGGCGAATGGCGGCACGGGCCAGATGAATGGCCATGGCGGGCCGGATCCGTCCCGAGGCCACAGTTTGAGGACCCATGCTGTAGACCTTGCCTGGACCCTGCAAGGGTCAGTTTTTCTCTGGTCACAGAACAAGCATACTAAACTAAAACATTATTTGGTGGCAGATGCTGGAGGTTCATGTTCTGCTTTAAGAAGGGAAGAATCCAGATCCTGCAGGTTTAATACAATGTGCAGTTTAAGCACGAGTGCAGGACTCTGTTGAGTATTCTGGCTCTCCACAGGAAGGGACAAGGAAGGGACAAGAAGTATAATGCCGAACTCCTGGATAACCCTTATCTAGTTTCTTGGATTTATTTATTTATAACATTTTTATCCTTGTCTATATCTGAAACAGATCACTAGACAACTTACAAAAACCAAAACCATAGCAGCACATTAAATAAAACATAAATTTCAATATATAAAAAATATACCTTAACATCAATTCTATATATAATTAATTAAAAATCATTCAACCACCAAAATACTGGGTGAATAAAATGGTTTATCAGAATAGATAAAGCATTGGCGCCAGGTTCACCTCTCTATAGAGCAGGTTCCATAGCTGAGATGCTACCATGGAAAAGACCCTTCCCCAGGTAGCTGCTCTTCTAGCTTCTTTCAAAAAGGGGTCCCAGAGAAGGACCTCAGCAGATCTCAATGTCTGGGAAGACGTATATGGAAGGAGACATTCCTTCAGCTATCCAGTCCCAAAGTTAACTCCAAGATTTAGCAAGCACTGGTTGCAATCCATCAGTTTTAGGAACTCCTGTGCCCACTGAAATCAATGGGCTTAATAACTCTTCTTTGGGTTTGGGCAATTTCCCTCACATTTTTAAGTTTATCCTCACAGCCAGCAGGGCTTGAAACTGACTTTGAACAACAAACAGAGCCAAATCCTTGGGATGCTGATCCCCTAATTCCCAACACCCAATGCTGTGATCCTGTGGCATGGCAACAGAAGCAGGAGACACCAGAAGCAGAATGTATAGAATGAGCACTGTATGGACAGCAAATTAATAAGCTTGTGTGCAAAGAGAAGCTTCTGCATGAAGGATAAATCCAAATGACCGTATCACCCCATGCACACAGCTCAAAGGTACAGTAACCGTCTTAAAAAGCACAGTCAAAGCTAAAGCAAGGCCAGTCATGGTTTGGAAATTGGGCCATGTTCATGTGTGACTGGATGGGGTGGCCTCCGAGGCTCTGCCAGGAGTCTATGACCCATCAGTCAATCATTTGTTTTACCTGAACTTTCAGCTGGAATTGCCAAAGGTGCCTGTCCTTCCATGTGACTCAAGATTGAAGGCCCTTAAGGCAACATCAGAAAGTACAGAGGCTGAAGATTAGAAAAATAAATTGGTTGAGTATGCAGTGATGGCAAAACTGACTGGTTATGCAAGCAAAGAATTTAATGATAGGTGAAAATCTTATTAAATGCAATTCAATTAATATGGAACAAATTGGAACCTGAAACAATATTGTTTATGATTTGTATTTCAGTGTAAATCCTATGCAACCATTTACAATTAACCCAAAGTGACAGGAAAACTTATTGGCCTAGAGAACTATTATCATTTTACAAGCTTCAACAAAATACTGATTGACAGAAAGATAGAAATTTCTACCTTTTCAGGAACTTGGCAAGTTATGTAATTATGCTATATTTGTGTAAAATCCCGTTGCATTCTTATCATTTTTCATTTTTCTTTCTTTGTATTCTATTTTTCATATGCAAATAATAAAAAAGTAGAATAAAAAAGTAGAAAGTACTAGAGTGGATCTGTCTCCCAGACTTTTATTCCTAGCGGCCTGTCACAGTGACATGCCGCAGTAATTAAAATATTTCAGTTCTTTTGTGAAGATAATGTAAATCTGAGGTAAACATTTAATCATTAAGTTTTCTTTCAACCACTCAAAGTTTGAAAAGACTAAAAGAGGAAGGAAAATATATGCATTTAGCTCAAGGCTCCTGCCTGCCAGAGTTACAACTGCTGACTTGATTGGCAGTTGGTGTTAGTACAAGGAAGTGAAAATGAAACCAGGTTCTCCCTCTTTCAATGGGAAGGTAGGGTTGAGATTGGTATCATTTGACTGGGGAAGAACTGAACAGTCTAGAGATGCTCCATGGACTAGAACAGTAGAAGCCTGAGTTTCAGCTCATGTGAGTGGTTTGAAAAATGACCGGACTGAAAGCTTCAGGAGAAACCTGGTGAACAGCCTTCAAGGTTCCAGATGGAATTCAACTCCCGTGAGAAAGAAGACTGTCTTTCAAGTGGTCATGATAGGCCAGTCAGTTAACTAGGGTGCTGGATGATAGAGGAATTGGCTCAAGTTTGCTTAGGGATAGGAACTGGGACTTCCAGCACCTGAGAGGAGTACAAATAACCAGATAATCCATGTTTAAAATTAACCTTTTTGTAAGCTTTCTCATTTCTTTCTTATAAAATAGCACATATCTTTGTTTACTTTTCGGGCACTTCTGATCTGTTTTGTCTCACAGTTAATAACCACTTACCTTAGAGGGAAAGAAATATGTTAAAATAGAGAGGAGCATTTATTAATGTGCTCTTTGAGGGGGTGCATCCACTCCTCTTGGATGCACACCTAGACATAGTGAGGGGGTTTGAGAGTGTCAGAAACACCAAGACAATCTGAGCTGGGAGTGAGGGGCATTGCACTGCAGTGGTTCCACTCCTGTTTGGATGGCAGGCTCCAGAAGAGGGTGCTCAGGAGATATTTAAAATTTTAAATGAATATTGCTCTGCCCCTTGGATTCTCCAGTATGGGGTTCAGGCGGGGCGGGGGGGGGGGAGGCAGTCTTCTCTCCTATGCTGTTTAACATGAAACTGCTGAGTGAAGTTATCCAGAGTTTTAGAGTGTGTTGGCATAAGTCTGTTGATGATACACAGCTCTATTTCTCCTTCCTATCATCAGCAGCTGAAGCTGTGGATGTGCTAAAGCAGTGTTTCTGGATTTGAAGATTAGCCTCTTTCTTCCTACACACTAAGTACATAAAGAGAAAAATCCATCTGAATGCCAGTTAAACCTTTTTAAAAACTTCACAGCCATATCAACAATCTAGCAACCATATTTTCAACGAGGTGTAATTTGCAGGAACTCTTTGAAGCATGTCTCATATAAAATGCATTATAGTAATCGAGTCTGGATTCGACTAAAGCATGAATTGAAGAGGCCTGATCATCACTGTTCAGAAGCACAAGTGGCAGCCTACCATGGCAAAAAGCACTCCTAGCTACCACCACCATCTGTACATCCAAGAACAGCAGCAGATTCGAAAGTGCATCCAAGTCGTGAACTTGGACCATAAGGGGAAGTAAAACCAAACATGCTTCCATACCTTCCCCCTCTCAGAGAAAACTGAAAACAAGAACGGAAACAAGCCAAGGCCCTGCACGCCCTCTCCAACTCACCTCCTTGCTTCATTCCTGGACAACAAAGCCATTCTCCTTCTCTTCGAATGCCCATTGTCAAAAGCCTTTCTTGGTTCAGATGTCTGTCTGTTCAGTCTCTACACTGTTTCAATTTTGCATTTCTCCTGTTGCATTGGTGTCCACATCAAACAACCCTGTGTGCTTATCCAGATTTGCAGTTTATCAGCATCTGTCTGACCTATTTTGTTAAAGAATGTAAATATGAAATTCCTGATCTAAGAGCTTTAGGATGGAGATTTTAATGCAAAATCTCCTGCAATTTAAAAAGCTCACATAATGGATGAAATTATGCACATGAAAATCCAGACTTAAACCTCTGTACAGAGCTTTAATACCATGTTTCCCCAAATATAAGACCAGGTCTTATATTAATTTTTGCTCCAAAAGATGCTTACGGCTTATTTTCAGGTGATGTCTCATTTTTCATGTATAACAATCTTCATTTATTCATGCTCAAAAATCTGCATTCATTCAAATACAGTCATGCCATCTTCTTCTGGAACATCATCATAACTCTCCAAACATTGAATTGTGTTGCAACAGACATACTAAATGCATCCATCTGGCTGAGGATCTTAACTAGGGCTAATTTCTGGGGTAGGGCTTATATTACAAGCATCCTGAAAAATCATGCTAGGTCTTATTTTCCAGTTAGGTCTTATTTTCAGGGAAACAGGGTAAGTACGTCCTCTTGAGAATCCATCCCCAGCCACCAATATGATCTTGCAACAATTTATACAATTCCTTGATTTTATCATGAGCAAGATGTATAAATGTAGGCTGCAGTTCTTCTAAAACAGGGTTGTCCAACCTTTTGACTTCTCTGGGCTGCATTGGAAGAAAAGAAAATGTCTTGGGCTGCTCATTAAATACACCAACACTAACAAAAGCTGATAAGCCAAAAAAAAAAAAAAAAAGGTCTGTGCATAATTTGTGATATCTGCCACCACAGATAAGCAAAAAAGTCCTCACAAATCCTAATTAAGTGGCACCCTATTCAGAGTCTTTTAAAATCGTTGAACAAGTCCAAAGTTTGTGATCACTAATAGAGAAAATGAACATATCTAAGTAATAAAACTTCATTGTTTTTATGATTTTATTATAAAAGTGGGCAACATGAAACTAGTGGGATATTTGACACTGTATTTGAGAAATTAAAATATCAATATCTGGTTCAATCAAAGTAGTTGCAATTCTCAGTGAATTCTCAAGATGGTCATCAGATAATCTGGTTCTAATTTTACTCTTAGTGTGCTTCATTCTTTAAAATAGTTGCTCACAAATGTAGGTGCTTCCAAAAAGTGATGACATGAATAAGGCATGATTGTGAAGCAGGGGATATTTGTCTCTGGGATGATAGGGCCTATAAAAGTCTATGATCCTATTTTTCTTTAAGTTGAATGTCAGATTGCAGCTCTATACAGTGCATCTGAAAACTGGCAGGTATCATATTTATGTCCACTGAAAATGGAATCACAAATATACCAAAAGAATGCTGATTTGCCCAGAAATCTTGAAATCTGTTTTCAAATTCTCATACTAAATCAAAAAGCAAGGCTGCATATTTTTCACTGTCCACAGGACCGTGTTTAGCCAACATGTTGAAACGTATAAAATTGTTTGCAACGTTAGGATGAAAGATGATTGATAATAGATGCATTTTACTCGCCATGTCACCATGACCACATGTAACGTCTGATTCAATTGTCTGCACCTGGAAGATAACACACTGGAAGCAGCACACAGTTGTAAAACTGAACCCACGCATGTGTGCAAATAATGAGAGCATAGGTACATTTATTTTACCTGACATTGCAACTTGACATTGTTGCCTACAAAGTACACACTAGAGAACTACGCAATCAAATAACAAAAAACATCACAAAAAAATCTCACGTTTTAAGTAAGTTTATGATTTTATGTTGGACTGCTGCATTCATTGCCATCCTGGACTGCAGGCTGGACACCCCTGCTCTAAAACAAGAAATTGTTGTGTGCCCCATAATATGCAACTATTCTGTAAATGAAAGTGCATCACACATTCTGAATAAGGCAATGATACTGGATCAAGTTTCTTTGCAATACTAGACTATTTACTCATCACAGATCCTCTTAAACAAAAAAGAAATATAAGACTTATACAGGTAAGCATGGAGGTGCTAAAAATTTGAATGTGGTCATTAGATGGGGTCACTGGGGCGGTGGGTGCAGCCTTGGGTGGACTTCGAGGGGTGATGGAGGACAGGAGAGCCTGGAGGAATGTCGCCCATGGGGTCGTGATGGGTTGGGCACGACTTTGCGACTAAACAACAATTTTGCCAGGGTAAGAAGACCGGGAATTCTGAGGAAGGAAAAATATAAATTCACTTTATCTCTTTCCCTAACACATCAATAGCAAGAGGGATCCGAAGATGCCTGTTCTTTAGTAAAATTTACGATTAAGCAGAAGGGCTCCTTCACGTGTCCCCCTCCACGTGTTGATGCTTTCCGGGGCTGATTTATTTGCCCTGCCATCATTCAACGTACATCAACACCGGATCCTCCCGACACCGACGAGAAGCGCTGCGTGTTCAGACCGGGGAGGAAAGGGGGAACTCCTATCTCCCCCTCCCCCGATATTGCATCAGATTCTTACTTAAACCGGATTTCCTACTCCTTGCAAGTTAACATCCCCATACAAAATGAAATGACCATCTTGGGGCATACATACCGATTGCTTTTTCAAGCCAAAGAGGAAAAGCCCGCGCTTTTTCTTTTGGCTCCGGTGCTGTCAAAATTACACTTCCGCTCGCTGTGGATCCTGGGAATTGTGGGATTTTTTTCGAAAATTTTCTTAACGTATACAACTACATAGAAGAAAATGTAGAATAGAAAAAAACTAATATAAACAGAACAAATTGAAATAAACAAAGTGAGATAAGTCGCCAAGGGAATTTTGAACAAGTTCTACTGCTTTCCTTTTTCTTTTCCCCTGAACTTCCATTAGGCGAGCTGAGCACAATAAAATTTCATTTATCCTCAGATTCTTCTAACGGTCTTCTATTTACATAGTTTGTTAGCTTTGCCATCGCTGCATATTCTGCTAATCTATTTCTCTATTCTTCGGTGGTTGAGGGCTCCGGTGATTTCCATTTAGGAGCTGTAGGATCTTTCACGTCTCCACTGTGTGATTCCCAAAGTGATAGATCCCACCCCCTGATGGCGGTGGAAAGATCCAAAGCGGGGGTGATCGGTCGTCTTAAATTTGCAGCAGGGCGATAGACAAAGTGAGCTAAGTTGCCAAGGTTTAGTAAGACTGTGGGCAGGAACTGCCTTTTTTGTTCCACATAAGCCACTCTGAGGTTTTTTTAGCTGGAGAGCAGGGTATGAATGTAATTTTAAAAGCCATTCATTCCATAATAAATAAGATAATTAAATAACTTCTAGAGGCTGTCGTTGCTTCACTTCAAAAAGAGATACCCTCATCTTGCATTCATTACTCAACAGAATTCAAACATGAACTCAACTATGTGTTGTTTTTGATGACCCTTCACAGATCATCGCAATTGTTCTTTGATCAAGGTGTAGATTTCACCTACATTTCAGTGGGTCCAATATTTACATGTCCTAAAGTCTCCTTTCCAATGTATTAATAATATGATAAAATATTGCTATTGTGGTTTCTCTTATCCATCAGGGAAGGGCTTTGGAACAGAAGATTTTTATTTATTTATTTATTTATTTATTTTATTAAAACATTTTTATGCCACCCCATTCGCCGAAGCCTCGGGGCGGCTTACAACAAATAAGTTAAATAACATTTTAAAATATATACATTAATACAATATAAAGTAAGCCGCCCTGGCCAGAAAAATTCAATCATATTAACATTTAAAATGCTGCTTGAATAAAAAGGTCTTCGCCTGGCGCCGAAAAACAAATAATGACAGCGCCAGGCTGACCTCTCTGGGGAGCGCATTCCATAACTTAGGCGTCACTGCTGAGAAAGCCCTTCTCCGAGTAGCCACCCTCCTAATTTCTTTCACGGAGGGCTCCCGGAGAAGGGCCTCTCCCGCCGATCTCAGGGGGCGGCTGGGCATATATGGATGTAAGCGCTCCTTCAGGTAACCAGGACCCAACCCGTTTAGGGCTTTATAGGTCATAACCAACACCTTGAATTGGGCCCGGACTGCAATGGGAAGCCAGTGAAGCTGACGGAGAACTGGAGTCATGTGAGCATAACGTCCAGTCCCCGTCAGCAACCTGGCAGCTCTATTTTGAACCAATTGAGGTATCCGGACCGTCTTCAAGGGTAGCCCCACGTAGAGTGCATTACAGAAGTCAAGGCGGGAAGTCACCAGCGCATGTGTCACTGTCGCAAGGCAGTCGTACTCCAGGTAGGGGCGCAGATGATTAATCAGCCGAAGCTGAAGGAAAGCGCTCCTCGCCACCGCTGTCACCTGAGCTTCCAATGAAAG